ATATATGTATACATGTATATATATATATATATATATATATATATATACACACACACACACAGTCTCAACACATCTGGGAGAGAAATGGCGCTGAGGCCGACTCACCAGAAACAAAGCACCTCGAGGAAAGACAAACCCGTGTCCGACGCCCCGACCACCACGATCCTGGCCTGAACGGAGACTTTGGGCTCCATGGTTAACTTCCTGCTGATGAGGCTGAGAGCAAACGGAGCCTGAGAGCATCACAGAGAGAAGACAAGTCAGTCAGAGTCCAAGTGAAATATTCCACCCAAATGCATGCACCCAGAACTATTAAGCAGCGTAAAGCATCACATTATAATGTGTCCCAATTTCCCCCCATTTGACTATCACAGGATGAGGTCCATCGTTCCATCAAGGCTCTCAACCTGCCCGCTGAAGAGACGCTCCAGCTCTCAGCCTAAAACCTTCACAGCATCAGTAGATTCAAGCAACGTCATGCAGAGTGAAGCTTATTGTATATCAACTCACAGGTGGCATAAAGAACATGAAGACAGTTAAGGTATAAACGCCTTCAGGTCGAGATGTTTCACAACAGGACTTAACTTTTCATGTTTTATAAGCCGAAGCACTCGAGTGGTTTAAGTGATTTGAAGTTATTTTATTCTGTTTTTGTTATAGTTTATTTTTCATGAGAATTACTGTAAATAAGGACAGAGACGTGCAACAGACTTTAACCCTTCGGCCGCTAAAAAAAGGTTTTCATCTCCTTATTATGTTTGTTAATCAGAAATTCAACAATAAAATTAGTTTCTTTTTGTTTTCGTGTGCAGCTCTACTTCCGACTATCCAACAGACTTGTTTGGTAAAGTTTGTGTTTCTTCACTTTTTTTATTGTGTTTTGTTTGGCATTTGTTTCATAAAAAGACGAGTTTATAACACGCGGCCACCTGGACCTTTGTCCAGTGAAATAAACAGTAACTTTTATAAACTACTATTATTGTCATCTACAGACCGATCCCACTGGGATGGATGTGTTGATGTTGAGGGGCTCTTTTTGTAGTTTATTCATGTGTACTTGGTGTACTGTCCTCCTGCTGTTTCAATCAGACGTTTGCTCTTAATTTAGATGTTCAAAAAAATCAATAAACAGTTAGAAAAGTATGATAATTGCAGAAAGTGCAGCTTTAAGTGGCAATGAGTCGGAAACTCAGGGATCAAACTTGTGACCCGTCAGTTGGGGAACACTTCTCTGCAATCATCACAAAAGAGTCCCGCAGGAATTAGAGGAACGCCGCGTTATAATTCCCCCATTCCTCCACCACCGAGTGTCTCTGGTCCTCGCGCTAATGGCTCCTTCATCATCTGTAATTAGGCAGATTGGCCCCACAATGCACCTTGTTGGATGAAAACAGCATCGAGCAAAAAAAGGAGGAAAAAGAAGGGGAGGGGAACCCGAGGGTGAAATTAACCTTTGTGTAATATTCAAATAATTTCCACGAGAGCATGTGTGCTCGACATCTGTCGCACTGAGATGTTGGTGGGTTTGATTAGCAGGAATATAGATGAGCTTGTGTTTATTTTATATGATAAATGTTGTTTTATATTATTATTATTACATAGTATCATTTTATATGTTAAGTGTAGCAATGAAACAAAAGCAGCAAATACTTTAAAATGTACAAAATCTTCCTTTTGATCACTTGTTTTCATTGATATCAGGTCAATGGTCACAAGTTGCAAAGGTAGGTTAGTGTCTGGAGATACTGGAGGATATCGTATCCTGATGAGAGACCACGCAACTTCATTATTTTATATTTCAGGAACACTGAACATGAAAGCAGAGTTCACTCTTTCTCTACAGATCATTTTCAGAGATGATCCAGCTGCTCTGACTGTTTCTCTCTCTGTGGAAGACGAGCAGTCGACGGCTTTCACTTAACTATAAAATCATCTCTTACCTTGTTAGAAATGATGACAAATGGATCAAAGAATAATGCAAACACACCTGCTGATACAGGACAAACCAGCATGTCAATGTTGGGAAGAACGTGATGTAAAGTCATGTGACGTGACGAGTGTGTTCACAGCGTTTCCACAACAAAACCTAAACACTCTGGCGTTAAACCACCAGTGGGTAATTCTAAGATAAAGCAATTTCCAGGACATCTTAATTTGTTTTTTCAATGATTTTGTTTTCCAGGTTTTCCAGGATGTGTTGGAACCCGGAAACTCTCAGGTTTTTGAATTATTATTGACAGAATTTGAACGTCCAGGCTTCATGAAGCATTTTGGTACGAAACATCCACTCGCAGAACCTAAAACTCTGCTTTTCTTTGACGAGATGAAGTGTTGAAGTCACTTTGAAAGATGCAGCAGCTCACTTTAAGAGTCCGGATCAATGTTGGATGAATTCAGCAACTTGTGGCAACATATTTTGATCCAAATGAAAAACATTGTGAATCTGAATTACAGCAGCTGGACTGAACCACCGCTGGATAACAGAGATATTATTATGATCTCCTCTATATGTCATCCGTTAAAACACCTACAAAACGTCTCAGATGAACAATCATTGTGCAGCTGTGTGTCATGTAGACGCTGTATTTTGACATTTATTAAAAATTAGTATCACTTTATATGTAAAAAAACAACAAGCTGTATTTGTCATCTGCCTACATGCATCCGTCTGAATACTGCAGGAATTAAGCAGACGAGGTAATCAGATGAACAGAGCTGCCGGCTCATCTGCATGTGCGGTGGAGCAGGTGCAGCCGCTCTTATCGCGCTGGAGACGCCTCACCTTCCCTCGGCACAATGGCCGCGGCTCTGTGTAATACGATCCCGTATTGACAGAGAGGGAACAGGTGCTTTAGATTCGATTAATCATCTCGAGGACGACGTCACGGCTCTCGGAGGCGAAGCTCTTATCTGAACGGTAGCCTGGAGATCATGACTGGGGGGGGGGGGGGGGGT